AAGGCAGTGGATAAGGCAACGATCCGGTTTTGCAGAAATGGAGGCTATCCCATTTTAAATCCTCAACCTGGAGGACCAGGAGACTGAGTTCGTCTGGCCTCTCACCATTGACCAACCTGGTAGGAGTAGCTTCTAAGAGGCCCAAGAATCCCATTCTGTATAGCTCAATGGGTCAACGAGACACGTAAACAGACACACCACGTTAAGGCTTAGTCTCGTCGTGACGGAGTTCACATAGAAACAAAGTTTGCAAACTTAATGCACCAACTAGCTGAAATGATACCTAAGTCTTACCTAGCTTGAGACTCTTTTAAAACCAAATTGCTGCATATGCCACAACAATATCTGCGGTACGGTCATCCAACGTCCTGACAGACAAACATCAAGAGGTAATCAAAGAATCACGACGGAATCTTTATCTTATTTTTTCAGATCAGATAAAGGATCGGGATGGGTGTCAATGGGGAGATCCAAATACATCGCGAAACTGCACGCTATTCTGCAAGACTCAAGCAAGTTCTTGCGTGATACAGTTCAGAAGGACAAAACTGATTATTATGATTAAAAAAATTTCGAAGGCTGGAAGGAATTAAAACAGATGCAGGTGATAAATGATTATCTACTTGATGGACTAACTTCTGTTGGCTCTAAACCCCGCCGGCTATATGATTTACCAAAATTGCACAAGCCGTAAGTCTCCGTACGGCCTATAATTGATATGTCGGCCTCTGCTTTCCACTCAGTCGGAAAAGGGATCGTCGAATTACTGGAACCAGTACATAAAGAGCTGTCCATACATTCACTGAAAGACTCATTTGGATTTGTTGAGAAACTTAAGGACGTGGAGGTAGAGGGTAAATTGATGCTATCCTTTGATGTGAAGTCACTTTTCACTAACGTCCCGTTACTGGAGACCGTCAACTTTATTTGCGAACACAGAACCGAAACGGAAGTTAATGTTGGCATTCCAGTTCTAAAACTAAAAGAACTAATTTTGCGATGCATATTCAACAGGCAGTTCCTGTTTGATGGAGTCTATTATCGGCAGATCGACGGAGTTGCTATGGGTTCGCCCCGAGGAGCTCTTCTCGCAGACGTCTTTCTCGCTAAGATTGAACGTGGTCCTATTCAAGCTGTTATTGTTTCAATGGATATCGTACTGAAAGTATATGGATGACACGTTTGTTATCTATGACTCGAACGCTGATGTCGCCAGTTTACTCGATCAAATCAACGGTGCACACCCATCACTGAGGCTCACCAAAGAAATCGAAGTAAAAGGACAGTTGGCGTTCTTGAACGCACTACTGAAGAGGAAGATGGTTCTCATGAGAGAAGCAACTTCCGGAAGGCTACGTGGGTGAAACAATACACACATTTTCTAGACCTCGCGAATTTGATGTACAAACGTAACTTGGTTCGCCGCTTGTATTACGGAGGCTTCAAAATCTGTAGCCCTGAGACACTGGAGAAGGGGAAAGGATGAACAGTAGAAATGCTGCTTTCAAACGGCTACCCTGTCTCATTAACCAAAAAACATGTTACAATCTGTGAACATAATCTCAAAAAAGAAGTGTTACATACGATTCCCTTTAAGAGTGATATCGCTTTCGACCTGCTGCGTAGAAGGATTTCAGCTGCAGTGATTAAAATCTACCCGGCCCTCAATCCACACGTCCTTGAGGAGACCGCTACATTTATTGCTCAGATTACGGACAAGACTGAATCGTATGTGTTATAGCAAGTTACTTACACCTGTGGTGCAAAGTACCTCGGACATACGACCACGTGACTGTCTACATGAATAGCTGAGCACTGTCCCAGATATCTGCGGAAAAAGGTATTGTCGGAAGTAACGGGAATTCCGTCCTTGAACATCTGGTTCAAAGCGGACACGAACTTCCGACTAACGATGCTCCCCGTATTTTGCACACCGTGCCAAATCAATACCCAAAGGGGCTTAAAAATAAATTCTAAAAATATCCGAAGCGATTACGATTGTTAATGCAACCAGAGCCTCGATAAGCAGAACATGCTGTTGCAATCTCACACTTTGCTCTGGCCGTAACGAAAATCCATCTACATGGGACACTGATGATGAGCGTTTTCACCCATCATAAAGAAGTCAGCGAGCTGTCAGGCTCCTACCAACTAATCCGTTCGAATAATGTGAACCAGTTCAGTCCCTTTCAGTTCAGCTTCCATTAGCTTGTACTTTTGTCAGTCAAGTTTGTAATCATATTTGCTTGATGTGATTTGCAAAGGAGAGATCTCTTTGGAACCGCAACCATAACTCCGTTATCCGACAGAATCCTGCCTAGAAGATAGAGCAGAACTTTTCATGGTAATTTCGACAGCAAAGTCGAAGAGAAATGGTGTAGTAGGACTACCCCGACAGGTTTCACTGGATGAGGTGGATAATCTAGGGGACGATGTTCCGCAAACTCGAGAGCACACACGCGAATTGAGCCACATGCGTAAAAAAAAACTCTGGTACATCATCGGGAGAAAAGCGCCTTGTTAGACAGTTTTTAAATCAAAGACCATTGTGACAGCCCGTACACCGCTTTTGAGGAGTTGGCGAAGCGTGAATATGTGGTCAAAATAACCGCGACATGATGTAACGTGGCCTTCGCCGATGGTATAACCTTTACCGCTTTGTTAGAATACTAACTACTTTAGCTATAATGCCCTCGCCTGGTACGGTTTACCAGTTAGAACGAAAGGTTCAGCTCATGCAAATTTTGGTCCGTGCCGAAGAGTAGCTGATCGAATTCAGAGATAACGCAGTCCGTCAGACAGTCGCAAGGCGGTTTCTGCCTCACTTCATTGAGACGAACACGGAACACATGACTATCCGCGAACCAGGGAGAATAAAATGGAAACATTTAGCGGGAGCCCTTATACTGCTTCATGCAGTTTATTGCATCTGGCAGTTAATTTTCATTCTACCCTGATTAGATTAACGCACATTTTCTTGTTTTCATTTCCTTTGCATTCTGTTTACATGCAACCTCAGGTTCTTACCATTGTTCTTTTTTGTCATTTTGGCGACGTGAGTCAGGGCAACTGGATCCACCGCACTTTGGTGCCCGGATCATAGTTGTTTAACAGAACTGAACTTATACTGCTCAGCCGAAAGCGACGGTGTATATAGCTTGGTTTGTATAGCACGAGTTGAGTCGTTATCAGAAAGTGGCATAATTGCTACCTGACAATGGTAATGAAGATGGCTACCGGTGTAACGAATAGCAACTCGGAACGGTAGCACAGAGGGAATCACGTAGTCGGCGGACGGGCAACAGTGTCGCTTGGAAGAGAAAGGCAATTGTCAACTGATAACGTTGTCACTGATAATGCATTGTATAAACGTTTCAAGACAACTTTATGGCAGATTTGGTGGGTCGGAAAGAGACATCCGATGGGAAGCTTTTGTAAAACCATGAGCTCCGCACAACAACTGGTTCGTCTGATTCGAGCATAGCGTGGAACAAAGATTGGCAGAAGTATGACGTCTATGAGCAATTTGGATGTGACAGAGATAAGCCTAGTATCTCCAAAAGTTTCACAAATGCTCCTTGTTCTTTTTAAATATGAGAAAGACAGATGTTAATCACCGCTCGAAAGCGTTTTCGTCGAGCCGGAAGATGTCAAAGTGACGAGACCAGTAACCAGCGAAGCAACGTTCAATCGCAAGGGAGTGAGATTAATTGGATAGCATGTCCCGCACTAGCGCGTATCAGATCAGATCGATGATGGGACCATGACATCAGCATCCCAAGGGTTTTAGATGACCCAACTGGTAAGCCGACACAACAGGTCGATTAAAGTGATCTTCGAAGCATTGATCCGACAAGTAAAGCCACGCGCCTGGGAGTAAATAATTGACCAGCTCTGAAGATCATTAGTTAACTGAGAAAGGAACATTCTGGAACCCGCGCACCTAAATAATTGAAAGGGTATTTAGTTGCACCAATGGCATCAGTTTTCTCCATCTTATGAGCCCTTGTCATTCACTAACGCAGATCAGTCCAGAAGATCCTGGTCAGACTCCGTTTAAGATTTCCTCGGGCGCTGAAAATGATTGCATAGATTACATTTTCTCGAATTAAGCAAACTAATTTAAACTACTCTCTTTGGACGCCAAAGTATACTTGCAAGCCGAGTTGATGGCGTATTCGCGTTAACTCCTATCGTTTATCCGCGTTTTGTCAGTGACAGCTGACGTTGTGAAACAAATTGATATTGCCACGAATGGTAGAATCAAAAGCCTTGTCGAAACCGGAAAGTTGACAGTAATACGAGCAAGTTTGAGAGCATAGTTATGATCGAAGTAAACAATCTATATCGTGGACTAATGTGAACAGGTTGTAACGGTTGATGACGTAAACAGTCCGGGCCTGGACCAGCCTGTCGTTTGGCGGTCATCAAATAAGTAAATGCATACGTTGTGTTGTATTGTTGATACAATTGTGATCAGCGCAAAACTCGGAGGTACAACAAGCGGCGACCCCAAAAACGGCCTCCGAGGATATGTTTAAACTGTGATAGGCAACCGGTTTGGGCAATCATGTAGCCCACAATGAGTACAATATTTGCATGATCAATCACACAAATGAGGAATGGGAATTACTAATAGCGTCCACCTTCAGCCACTCCCGAGTTGCAATCGGTGGAGACCCTCAATGCGCACTGCGGTACTCCCATTGGGTTGCGGGATCGGGTTAGCAAGTAATAGTCGTTGAAGGCAACCGGCCGCTCAGTAGGCCTAAAGTGTGACGGTCCATGACCACGACACAGAATAAGTGGGTGGTATTCGATTGTTCTGGACATTGCGAAGTAGTTAGACACGAAAGAAAACTCAAATAGACAAGCCAACGGATGCGTACAGCTTGGATTAGTAGTAACACAAAAATAAACAAAACTTGTTCAAACCGGATAAAAGGATGGAGGAATCGGGACTCCGGAACATCAGATAACAGACGGATGACCCAACCAAGTTACGCTGTGTCACTTTCCAGCCCATTCATAACGCAGGTGTTATCTGCAGAAGTTTTGCTCTGGATCTGAGTGGGTACGGGGCACCTGAGTAATTCACATAGTTCATTTCTAATAGGCCGCACAACGTCCAATTCGGATTCCCTGACAAAGCAAGACAAATCAAGGGTGGTATAACGTAAATCACCATTATCAACAATTATGTGAGATTAGTTATATCGAGTAATAAAACGATGTGGGAGTTAACCGACTGCAGGGGAAATGTAACAGCTGGCCTAGGATAACCGGCCGACGCTAGTAGGCCGACAGTAATGCGCGTGACCAAAACCGAAGGGGAGATTTCAGACCCTAATTCTGGGTTACGGGAGCTGCAAACCTACGGGCTACGGTGGACGCGGGTGGAAGACGCGACCGAGCATCCAATCGCGAGAAACAACGGCGTAAAGGGAGGTAGGAACTGACAGCACAGTCGAATCATTAAAATAAACTTTTCTTAATCGGATAAAAGGGTTCTGATGCAAAAAATATTTCTTTTGTTTATAGTGATATGTTAGATCAATTAACGTAGTCAACAAGAGATTTTGATCGCAGACGGTCAAGTATACAAATTAGGGCGTGTGTACATCGGTACACACCGAACGAGCCTTCTTTTGTTAATATTTGATGTGAAATGTTTTGATAGAATTTTATATGTTTGCGACGGAGAAACAAGTAGGATTTAGTAAACTTGAACCTGCCGCGTCCTTTGCAACCCACAACCTTACAGAGTTGTCCTAATTCTTTTATGCAAACAGTGGAAAAAGTTAAGAGATGTGGCTTCAGCAATTAGTCTCTCTACAGGCTTTTCACCCTTTGTAACAGTCAAAGCAGCGGTTGTTGAGGCAGCACCAGAATCTGCGAGTGGTGTTGTGGATGTGCTTGGTCTTCCCGCAAACTCGCACATATATGATGTGTTAGTAATTTCATTTCTGAAATACAGGAGATGCAAGATTTGATTTTAAGTGTGTTATTTACAGTTCCAATGTCTATACTCCAACCATGAATTTGCAAGTAAAAAATCATAAGCACAGACCATTCCTTCGTCTTGGCATTAATTCCATGCAAGGAAATGAGAAAATCCAACTAAGCCACCTCATGTCTCCAATGAACACTTTTACACATATCGGTCGGGTTAGTTGAATAAATTCCATACTGTAACTACCAGTACCGACGTGCAATGTTGTCCACATCTTCAATGCCCACAAAGTTGGATTCAAGAGTAACAGCTCCGTTGTCTATCTCCCTGATCACACAGATATCCCTTCTGTTGATATCTTGCAGATTTAAGATCCTCAACCAACTTCGAGAAGAGATTAGTTAGATTTCAAATGACATCTCATTGAACGGTTACCTTTCACAACACCTAGGGAATGAATACCTGGCATTTTCTGTTCCTTTATAAGAATCATCATAGTGAAATAATTGTCAAAACAAACGTTTCAGTTCTTCTTTCGAGAGATACTCTGACAATTTCCCAGGATAAATAGGGGGGTAGGGGGGGATACTCGGGGAGTGGGGGTGGGGGGTGGGGTAATATGGTAAAGGGGAATGGATTAGTGTTTGTTTTAATGGGAGGAAGGTATAAGGGGATAGGGGAGAGTTGTAGGGTGGAAAGCTAACTTGGTTATTGGAGGGGTGTTAGGGGGGGAATGTGGGGAAGTTTGGTGGAAGGAGATTGTATGGGATGAGAGTTGGTTTAGGGTGGTTTTGGAGTGAATTATCATTGGGGGGTGTGGTTGTTGTGGGGTTGTTATGTGGTATGTGAGTGTTGTATCTTTATGGTGTTGGTGTGTGGTGGTTGGTGGGGTGTGTATGTTTGGGGTGGTGGGTGTTGGGGTTGGGGTGTTGGGGTTTTGTGGGGTGGTAAGGGTAGTTTAGGTGAGATGGGTTGATGGTGGATTGTGGGAGTGGGAGTTTTAGATTTATGGGTAGTATTGGTGGATTTATGGGGGTGGGAAGTTTGGTTGAAAGTAAATTTTATGTTATTTGGTTGTTAGAGGATGGTGTGATGGTGTGTTATGAAATTTGTGGAGTGATTGTTGTTTATTTTTAAGTTAGTTTTGTCTTGATTTTGACTAGCATAACAGGGGTTTATTTCCTTCTTCCCAATTCATCGTTTAGATCACTCTCACCACAAAGCCGACCAGTTCCGGCGGAATAGAATCATCATAAATGGAGAACTCTAAATTGGAATTATTCACACATTGCAGAATATCATCCACTACCAAGTCTTTTCCTGAGTCATTTGAAATATCCTTAAAAGGGACATTGGTTGCTTAATTTTATAATTTTAACTCCTAAAACAGAAGTTAAAGGGACAGTGATGTTAAACAATGAAAGAATACATGGGAACAGTGATGAAATTTTTTTTATCCAAAATCATGAAAAATTTGACATACTACACGTAACTACAATGCATAGATATTAACATTTTCAATCTAAAGGGTCACGGTGCGAACTTTTGGGTACATGACTAAAAAGTATTCACCGAATACTATTCGCTACTACGTAAAAGTAAAACTGCGCAAAAAAAGTAGAAGGCAGTTAATTAATCGTATGTGACAAACATTTTCATTTGAAAATAGATAAGGTCAGCAATGTAGAGGATAAAAACCCACAAAGTGGTGTCTTTGCCCTCTGATAAGTTACTTTGATACTACCTGTAGAAAACAAACGAATTGTTCTTATAATAAACCATAGTACCTGTTTTCGCACAAGGTGGACTGGATTTTTCGAACATAGTGGAAAACAATTTTGTATGCATGTGTACATCTTGTATACGAATGGGACAAGGGAACAGTCTCTGCCCCTGTTAAAATAATGCAGCCTGCAAAGGCGTCCACAGGGGCGAAGTGAGTTCGCAGCCCCATGAAACTTATCCGGTCCAAAGTGCCACAGGTACCGCGTTTCGTAAGCGTACAACCGTAAGGAGGGTGCACATGGGAAAAGTGCCTCATGGCCAAGCAACAGCGCATTATTAGCTAAAGTGACCAAGGCACAAGGCTGATATGGTGGCATGTCGGCATCAAGTCGTAAAAAGGGGTTCCAAGTCGAAAGAGAGTATCAATTTACCATTTACCCTCATGCATTCGACTTGTCGCACAAATGCGAATGTATCTTTTACAGTGCGAGTGCATAACTCGCGGCGTACTGGTTCCAGCAGACCTACAAGCCATTTCGCAACGGAGTGAAAAACGGAGGTCGAAATGTCAATTATCGGACGCAGAGGAACCTGTGGTTTGTGTACTTTAGGTAGTCCGGAAAGTCCGGGAGGATGCGATCCGACTGGAGTTAGCCGTTCCAGTAGTGCGCCATCTATCACGTTCCTGCATTTCAGCTCCTTCAATATTTGTGCGATCATGTGCTCATCCTGCGCGCTTATCTTTCCGTACCGTTTCACGTAGGAATTTTTCTGTGTCCCGCAACATACAATGTATCTTGGAGACGCAGTCAGATTTATCCAACAGTACCATCCTGATCCTTTATCGCAAAGAAACATAAATGTGGGTATTCTAGTGCAGAAATTGAAGGAATTAATCACGATGTACTTTCAACAGACAGCTTTTATTTGATGGGACCTACTACAGACAGATCGACGGAGTCGCGATGGGGTCTCCTCTCGGACCGCTTCTTGCTGACATTTTCCTTGCTATGCTCGAACATGGACCTACAAAATCTATCATATTTTCATTTGATTTCTATCGTCGATACATGGATGATACGTTTATAGTTTGTGATTCAAACACTGATGTTCCCAGTTTGTTGAACCGGTTAAACAGTGTACAACCATCTTTGAAGTTCACCCGTGAAATGGAGAATGATGGTAAACTGGCCTTCTTGGACGTTTTAATAAGGAGAGAAAAATACGGTTCACTAGAAGGAAGTGTGCTTCGGAAAACGACTTGGGTCGGTCAATACACGCATTTACTCAGTTTTGTACCCTTGAAGTACAAACAGAACCTTGTTCGTTGCCTGCACTTTCGCGCTGCCAAAATATGTAGCCCAGAGACCTTGGAGGCTGAAAAGAACCGTATTTTCCAAACGCTGCAAGTAAACGGTTATCCAGCTCACTTCATCCGAAAGCACGTAATGATTCATGCTCATCATGAATTGTTTACAACTGTCCCCAAGAAAGATGTGTTTCTATCCGTTCCCTTCAAGGGAGATATTGCTTTCGATTTGCTAAACAAAAGAGTTTCCGCTGCAATAGCTCAAACGTTTCCAGCAGCATATCTACACATCACTGTCGAAACCGCGGCGTTTGTTGCCCAGCGTCTCAGACAAACTCCCGATCCAGTCCGAATGTTATATTCTATATCAATTTACTTGCACCTGCGGTGTGAAGTACGTCGGACATTTGACTAGGCGTCTGTCTAAACGGATATCGGAGCCCTGTCCCACGTCATTGCAGAAAGGTAATGACGGTTACATCAAGAGTTCTATCCTAGAACATCTGGTCGAAAGTGGACATCAAACCAAGGCTACTGATGCTTTCAAAGTGTTTTATGTTGTGCCAAAACGCTACCCCAAGGGGCTTAGGAAACGAATGTTACGGACGGCCGAAGCCATTGCGATCTGCCTTACACAACCTGAACTAGGCAAACAGAGGGCGTTTCGAATACCAACTTGGTTGTCGTCCACATGATATGAGGAAGTCTTTAGTGGCCTCTTGTCCACACATTTGGAGAAGACCGAATTGTGGATGGATTTCTGTAACATCGATCAATTTAATCGAGGTGCGTTGTTTGTTTCAGTTGGGAGTTCAGTTTCAGTGCCCAAAACACTGAAACCGCCCAGCATCCGTGATAAGTAGACAGTCGATGCGGTTGGGAATAACCGAGTATTGTCGCAGAGCAGTCGTTTGAGTAAACCTTCAGCTGTCGAAAAAGACAGTTGATCGATTTTCATTAAGCTTACTGTGATACTATGGCTTAATAAATAACCAGAAACCCATGGGGTGTTGATGCCACATCAGCTATGGAATAACATGGAAGTGCATCTGTTTTCTAGCAAAAAACACGATATGAGAATGACGAACATTCCCCAACTTCAGTGCTTGTTGGTTTATCCAGCTCAGTTAAACACTGTTATATAAAAGGAGTGCC